TATATATATATTGCGTATTTATAACCGAGGAGGTTTTGCATTCTGTTTTGCATATTACTTACTAAATTGAAGACAATCATTGAATCGATATACTTATACCGGTGTTGTTCAAAAGCGATCTCCCATTATCTGGGATCAAACGGTTGACCTTACGTCAATTGACAATTTACATCAGCATATAGAATCATTAGCTAAGGGCTGATTAATCGCGGGAATAAAAATTCAAATAAATATTGCTATAATTTTCGAGTGTCGACGACACTCATCGAAAAATTTTCTACTATATTTATAAGTTATATAAGTCTATTCATGTTTTCTTTTTTACTGTCATTATATAAAAATTATTAATTGCTTTAATTTAATTTCACGAGTCCAATAGCTTCATTCATCTGTTAATATTTCACTTATTTATAATATCCGACACATTATTGTATAATTTCCGACTCAAAAATTATCCTTGCTGGTAGTTGTTATTAGGTTTCAAGGATTAAGCGTCTTCTCTCGTCTAATTTTTATAGTGATATTCAATAGTAGAAAAAAAAATAGCATTCAAACATTCCGTGAAGGATTAAACGAGATTTTGCAACTATTTGTTAGAAATTAAACCTCGGACGACATACAATAATGCTTGCAAGTCAGTACTTACAATTTAAAGCTTTTCTAAAAAAAAATTGTGTGTGAGTGTGTACGAATATTAAGATATGAAAATCTGAAGCAATGACACTGTTACAATATTATTTGTTTATTTCGAGTCACGTTTATGTTAAAATCATGGATCTGGAAATTACGATATAAAACATACAAAATAAAATACATAATAATAATAGTAAGATAGTACGCCACCCCCCAACCCCCTCGGCGAATTTTAAATCAACTCTTCCGAAAAAAATTTGATTAATTGTCTTCTATTACAACTTTCTATTTTGTATTTCTAATATTATATACATATATATTTCATTAATTAAATTTCAAATTACAAAACTTCGTAAACGTGAACTTCGAAAAATTAAGTGAGGAATAAGATTTCACTATTTGTTAGATAAATCGCTAAAATTATATCTCGGTTTCGAAATTGCTATAAAATTTCAATACATTCGACAGAAAATAATCATCTAATCTAAAAAAAAC